ACACAACACAACACAACACAACACAACACAACACACTCCATCTTCTCCTCTCCCCCCCCTGTCGGGACCTGCACACAGGTCCGACATTACTGCCGCGTTGGGGGTCCTTGGCGCGGCGCACGCCTTTGGCGAGTATGTCCGCTCTGCTGGCATCGACACCAAGACATTCGAGAAGGACGTGCTCTTTGCGCTCTTCGACGCCGAGGCCTTTGCCCTGGCCGGGTCCTCGCGCTTTGCCCAGGAGATCGTCAACTTCAAGTGCGACAAGTATCCCAAAGGCACGGACACCACGACGGCCGAGTGGTGCGAATCGCCCTACCGTCAGTCGCTGGCCTTCCGCAAGCTGTCCATCAACTCGCTGGCGGCGCACTTGCACCTGACGCAGCTGGGCACCGCGAGCCCCTTCCCCGGGGACCCGGCCGCCGGTGATCCGGCCGACCAGCTGCCCGCCCTGGCCCAGCTCTTTGCGCATGTTCACAATGCCGACATTGGCAGCGACGCGGTCAAGTTGGTGGAGCTCCTGCGCAAGTTGGCGGTGCTCCTGCCAGGCCCGGCGGACTCGTCGTCACCGTCAGCATCATCGTCATTGTCCTCCTCCTCCTCCTCCTTCTCCGAAGCCGACTCCTCATTGTCCACCGGGTCTGTGTCGACGTCGGGCTCGGGCTCGGGCTCGGGCTCGGCGCCGGCTTCGGCCTCGGCTTCGTCCAGCGCACCGGCCGGCCCGGGGGACCTTCCCCTGGCCGTGGTCCCGGCCTGGGTCCCGGTGCAGCGTCACCAGCCGCCAGCCAGCACGCACCCTTTCCTCATGTACCAGGACACCATTGCTTCGGTGGTCCTGTCGGACTTCCATGAGCACTACCAGCAGACGTGCGTGGGCGCCGCCCTTCCCCCTGTCTGCCCTGCGCTTTCCCTCTTTTCCCTTGGTGTCTGCTGTCGTCGGCCGCTCCTCACGCATCTGTCTCCTTCCCTTTCCTGCCCGTAGAAACTACCACTCCCAGCTGGACACCGCGGCCTCGCTGGCCAACAAGAACGCCGTGCTGAGGATGATCTGTGACACGTCGACCCTGATTGCCCGGGCGGCCTTCTCCTTGGCGACAGGTGCCGCGGACCCGGCAGCCGTCCCGGCCGCCATCCAAGCCAACTGTACCATGGTGCGTTCGACAGCACATGGCCGCCTTTCAAACTCCGTCGCGCGCGCCGCTGCCTTGTGAGTGTCACTGACCACCGGGCCTGGCCAGGTCAATGAGCTTTTCGACTGCATGACCACCAACATCTCGTGCCCGCTGCTGGCGAAGTACTTCACTGGTGCGTTCGCTTGTTTCCGGCCGTTCCCGCCTTTCGTTGTTGTTGTTGTTGTTGTTGTTGTTGTTGTTGTTGTTGTTGTTGTTGTTGTTGTTGTTGTTGCTGCTGCTGTTGTTGCTGCTGCTGTTGCTGCTGTTGCTGTTGCTGCTGTTGCTGTTGCTGCTGTTGCTGCTACTCTCGCTGTTGCTGCTACTCTCGCTGTTGCTGCTACTCTCGCTGTTGCTGGCCACCATCCCCATCCTCACCACCCCTGTCGCCGTCGCCTCTCCCGGATTCTCCCTTGGAACATCCTGCCAGTCGCCTCCGACAACACCCGGCTCAACTACTACGCGGGAGTCTACCGGCCGGGCTTCGTCAGC